AAAATAAATTACTACAGAAAGTTGAAGCATTTGTGTAATTTTCTCACATGAGAAATCTCCCTGTTCAACACAGCGGTGTCCTTTGCTCATCATAGAAACTCATTGTCAAAGAAGTATATTCAATGACATCATAAAACTTTCTTCTCTACTGTTATTTCCTTCTTTACTCCAGATGGGGAAACAGGCAGTGGAATTATCCTTCTTTTGGGGGCTGGGGAAAGTAGAGATTTTGTTTGATGATTTTGCTTTGTCCTTTGCACTTTGTGGTTTGTGGGTAATCTTGAATTTTCATAGATGAATCATAGAATTGCCTGGGTTGAAAAGGACCACAATGATCATCTCGTTTCAACCCCCCTGCTATGTGCAGGGTCGCCAACCACCAGACCAGGCTGCCCAGAGCCACATCCAGCCTGGCCTTGAATGCCTCCAGGGATGGGGCATCCACAACATCCTTGGACAACATGTTCCAATGCATATTTTGCTTAGTCACTGCATGTTCCTTCCTCTAAATGCTGGAAAAAGCAAAGGAAGAGCACTGAGCTGGGTACTTCGAACAAGGCTGCAAAGCAAAGTGTTTTTGCTAGATTCACATTTCTGCGGCAATTCATTGCACTGCCTTATCCATGCCCCTGAAAAGCTTTTCCTTCTGCAAAGTAGATAATTAAAAGACAAATACTTCAATATTGGTTGGAATTCCGCAAGAAATCAGTGCCTCAACATGACTCAGAGCTACATGCTGCTGCTGCATTTTAATGAAGATCTTGATAAAGACATATTTGTGCATTTTGAAAAACAGGGTAGGGGTTCTGAAAGACTTTTTTCACCCTTAGCAGCATGGCACACTATCAGTACTCAGTGCAGTCACAATTCTTCCTCTACAGCATCATCACGTATGATCCACAGAAAAATAGCATGCATTATACACTGTCACATGCCCATGCAAATGGTTCTCTGAAAGTGCCTGTGCTACTCTGATTATCAATCAAGCTCAGCACTGGAAGCAAAGCAATATAGCATTGGTGTCTGCCTCCAACTCATTTTCCCTTTTATGTTGTGTACCGAATGTAGACTTGACGGGAACAAAGATCTTAACCACGATTTTTACATTTTCTGCCACACTTCCTCTTCTTCAGCATCAGAGGCTGTTACAACATATGAAAGGGTTTCATATGCAGAGTGTCAGCTGGCAGCAAGGGGAAACCCTTCTCTTTACCACCCATCAATACATAATGCTGTGTCACATGCCACACTTTGACACGCCTCAAAAGGCTGTTGAGCGTGGAGTTTACGTGGTATTTTCCTTCTTGTTTACACACTATCATTGGAATCTATCAACAGTCGGTAAGACTCATTGGTTGGTAAGTTTTCCCACATTCTCGTTAGCCTCTCTTCTGCTGTTTGCTGTCTGTTTTGCTATTCAGAGAGGGCAGTCACTCCTCTTGCCATCGCCTGCAGAGCACTAAAGCCCGAAGTTCCTGCCTTACTCCCACACCCACCCTCAGAAATGATTGATATGGGCTTGGGCAGTGTGCTTCTGTGCTGCGAGCTGTACATAAAGTACACTTACTGAGCCCCAAAAATCATAAATCATTCTCCTACTGTTTGTGTTTGCTTGCTAAGAGAAAAAAAATGCCCTGAGATCAACCTACTACTGTTCAACAGTATTGTACCAAGAAAAACATGTCTCAGCAGGCTGCCAGGATTTGCTAGAATTAGGCAATTTTATAAAAAGCTGAATATATTCTCTTTTTCATGTCTTGTACAGAATGCTAAAAGTTTAGGGAAGACATTAAGTTTTATTTCTCCGTTTCAGTTGATTTTTTTCCCTGATGAGTTTTCTCTGATTAAGTAGAATTCACTAGTAAAATGTTGATGCCTTTCTTATTTTTTTTTATCTACCTGTTAAATTTTACAATTCTTAATTTGAACATGGGAAAATATCGAAGTACTCTGGGATACGAAGTTCTGTTCAAACAGAAGCATGCAAAATGTTTTCATCCTGCATAATCTGATTCTTAGCACATTAAAAACCCAAGTGCAGATTTCAGCTGTACTTGGTGACTAAACTTATACAAGTTTGGTGAGGGACAGAGGACAATAAAAGCTTCAAAGATAAGAAATGAAATCAGCCTATGTGTCAAGGTAGTTGAGTTAGACACACAAATGTTATGTTTACATGGGACAAAAACCTATAAATAGCCTTTAAATGTGATGGTGATGTGAGATGTCAATAACAAGAATATCCTAAAATTAATTATCTCAGAGTTGGAAAAGACTTTTTGCAACATGGCGGACTTCCTAACATACCACATTGGTTCATACTCTATATGGTCATAAAAGCATCAGCAAAACATCCCTGTGGAAGGATCATTCTTTTTTACTCAGAGGGTGGTGATGCACTGGAACAGGTTGCCCAGAGAGGTTGTGGATGCCCCATCCCTGGAAGCATTCAAGGCCAGGCTGGATGTGGCTCTGGGAAGCTTGGTTGGCAACCCTGCTCACTGTAGGGGGTTGAAACTAGATGATTATTATGGTCCTTTTCAACCCAGGCCATTCTGTGATTCTATGATTAAGAATTGGCTAACACAGTTCCTCAAATGCTTATTAAAGATGATCCAACACATAAATGGAATATTTGTAGTAAGACTGTAGGTAGTTTTATTTGGACCAAAACTGACATTTTTATTTGGTATGGAATATAAGATAAACTTAGTTCTAGTGTAATGTGTTAATGACACAAAAATGAGAACAGAACAGTTATACATAGCATAGACATACGCAGCAAAATGAATGCTTGAATTTCTATTTTACGGCAAGAAAGCTGGGAAACACCTTTAATAGCTGAGATCCATTAAGTTGATAAGGACCCTGTTAGGTAAAACTATGAGCTTTCTTCGAAGATAGAGAACAAAAAGGAGTATTAGAAACTCTAGGCTCTGGACAATAGGAAGGTCTGTGTACTACAAGATGTAGTACTAAAAGGAGTGGAGTATTACACGCAGTTTGCATGTTCACCTTTGTTAAATGATACTGAAACTTACTGAGAATAAGTTCAACCAACCAACCAACCAAGCAGGTAACACATAGGAATAAGTTATTTACTTGACATGACTGAATTGTGTTACAGGTGTGTTGGTACACAGAAAATTCCTATTACTCAGAGAAGTAATAATGGACATCTTTGTTTGTCAAAAAGAAAACCAATGTGTGATATTTTTGTTAAGTTAGAAGGTTTGGACTGTTTGCAAGAGCTGTTTTCAACTGGTACTAATGCACAAGGTTAAACTGTGATATTACAACTGGTAATGGAAGTGTCCAAGTAAATTCTGTTGATATACTTCATGTAGCTGCTGCAGAATATACCCTTATGCATTACTGTTCTGGTTCTGATGCAATTAGAAAATAACTCTGAAAACAAGATAATGTAAATTATAAAAGGCCCATAAGTACCAATAAACAGTAAATTCTACAGTTTTTCAAGTGTGAATCCATTTCTAGGAGACATACACAAATCAAATGCAAGCTGTTCTGCTGGACATAGGGAGAAACAGCTTTAATGTTACTGTAAGTATTATGTACGTGACCAGACAAAGATCTGTTGGTGCCCCTTCTAGACTCAAAGGAAATTAATGTGTGATTCACATCAGAAAAGAAAGGTAGTTAAGACAAGAGGTAAGTTTTAAGATGTCAATCATTGCCTCCTTTTAGAATAAATTAGGTTAAAAAGTTTTAATGGATCAAATTATTCCTATCAAATTACACTTACTACAGCATAGGATATTGAGGTTATCTATTTCTACAGTATTGTGTTAAAATAAGTAGTCCCATCAATTATACTGTAATAGAAAAAGACCAGATAAATCTAACCTGAGAATTGAACAGTATTACTTAAAATGCATATTAAAGAAGCCATATATATATATAAATGTCCTATGTAAATTAGAAATAGGATTGCATTTTAAACTTTGCTTTCCCACACTGACAACATATGGGCAGTTGAACAGATTTAACAGAAAACACTTCGTTTGCTAACATCTTCATTTTATAGTCAAGTACAAAGATAAATCTAAATTATGTAGGACGGTATTCTAAATAAAAAGCTACCTACTTTCAAATAACAGATGAATGTCTCTGGTTACATCTAGCCAGAACTAATACCTGAAGTATAGACAAAGTACTGTAAATTCCATGAATGGCAAGCACATAACAAAAATGAGACAAAGAAAAACATCTACTGTTCACTGTTTTAATAGGAGTCACTGGTGGTCACTTATGTTAAGAATGATCTTACCCAGTGTTGAGCACTTAATGTTTGATGGCTACTTAGTTAATATCCTCTATGCTCCAAGTTCTTCTGTTATCACTGATCTATAATCAGTAATTGCTGTCTCTAGATAGTGAGTTGTTGCAGTTTAAAATCTATCTGGATGCAGTACTCTCTTCACCTATTAATTCCTCTTTATTAACTACAGGGAAAGATATGTTTGACCATTTGAAGTTGGACTATCTGAAGGTTTTGTCTGAGCATACTTGTTCCTACGCCTTTTATAGCTGGAAAGCCTATGTCTGCTTTTTACCCATGTGAGGACATTCTGGCAGTCTTATGGCAAACAGGTTGCAATACTATCTATATGAATTTCCCATACAACTGTCCATCAGAGCTTTAGTATCCCAAGAATGCAAATTTTTACTAATACTATTTTTTCTCGAGGAAAAAAATATGTAGGTCTCAGTCTTCAGAGATCTAAATAAAAGAAAAAGAAATCAAATCTCATTTGATTGGCTTTACATTACTTTTTAAAGTAAAATTGGCACATACTGTGTAAACACCTGGAAGTGGTAATATCTTTTTCCTAAACAGCTTGTGGCTATGGAGAGAAGAAGGAAAAAAAAAAAAAAAAGTTATTCCAAAGATATTAGATTGAGATCAATTTTTTATTTTTTTATTTTTTTTTTTAATAATAATTAAAAAAAGAACAAAAGAAATCACCCTGCTTTGGCGCAGGTATTGGGCTACTTTACTGTTTGTAGTATTTTAACAACAACAACAAAACAACCCCAACCAACAACCAAATAACAAAAAAAAAACCTGCCTGGAAAAGATTACCCAGACTGTATTGCATTATAGCTTCATTAGGTTGTTTTAGATGCTAATCTGAAACTCCACTTCTCCAAGACTCTTCCTGAGTTCTTCTGCCTTTTTCTCCATCTGCTGAATGTTCCAGTGCCATTGTCTTTTATTTGAATGCAGTTTGTTCAGCTGACAGTGCAAACGTTTCAGAATAGCATCGTATCTTTTATTCTGTACCTAAGAAAAATAGAATAAAATACACTTCAAAAGTTTTTCAAGTAAAGCAGTATTTACAGAGTTTTGTTCACCTAACTGTATGTGTCAATTCTGACATCCAACTGTGCCATTCCATGCTGACTTCACAGCTACTGAAAAAACACAGAAACATTTAAGAAGCCAGTGATCTGGTTACTGTATTTACCTGCTTTGAGAAAATATCAATCATTCCTCCTTCTCCCCTTTAGGAAAACAAACAAACAAAAAAAGCTGTTTTCCATCAAAAGCTTAGGTGACTAATTCAATGTTGATACCTGCTCTACAGATGTTCAACAAAGTAAATTCCACCTGAAAAATCATGAGTATATTACAGCTGTGGCAAGGCTTTGTACACGGAACATCTCATGTTCTAGGGTAAGAAGTAAGAAAGGATGAAATTTTCATTCTTTGACAAGTGTGTTTGGGTATAGGAGTACAAGTGAAGTAGTCCAGATAGCCTCAGTAGCATCTTCACTGTTAGAATGCACTTAGAAAAGTGTTTGTTTGTTTTTTAGAAAGGCAAACCTGTAACTATGCAGTACCAGATCAGTTTTGCCCCCACTGAGAGGTACTGCTGTTTCAGACAACCCTTTGGAGATTTGCTTTCTGAAGTATAAAAGCATGAAACACTCATTGCAATAAAAATGGAAATATACTTAATGAAATTTCATTTAATGAAAATTTGGCCTCAGCATAATTTGAATAATGTATGAGTGGCAATACATTCTAGTGCCAGGAAGATGAAACATTATTACATTGTATTAAACACCCATGATGGCATACAGCTGCAACAGAACTACAGCATTGACAGCAATGACTTCCTGTGAATCATTACATTTCTTACAGATCAGGCTGCCCAGAGTCCCATCCAGCCTGGCCTCAAATGCCTCCAGGGATGGAGTAAGACTTAGATAAGTACTTAAAATAATTGCTGAATCAAGGTACTAGAAGTTCTACAGCAATAACAAATCATTAATTTGGAAGCTTAGAAACATGGCAGCTCACATCCTCTCTCTAAACGGATGAGAGGAGGTCAGTTACTGTTAACGTAAGCATGGTTAGAAGCTGAAAATCCATACAAGATGTAATAGTACTATGACAAACTCTGAAGGCGTGAGGTGGGATCAGTTTGCAGACTGACAGCTAGCTTTTGAGACTATGTGTGACCTGTTCTACATGCTTGTTTTGATCAATAGAAACCCAGCCAATAGATAGCACAAAAGTCTACAAAGACTGGATTATGCGATTCACCCTACTGTAAGCAGCTACATTTGGCCAACTGAATTGACCTCTAGACTGCATCAGCTGGACTGACTACATCTCCATAGATTATAATGGGAACCAGTTTAACTCAAGCACTTTTAAGTGTCCTGTGCTGAATCCCATCCTTGCATCCTAGTGGGACTCCAAGTCTCCAGTGTTTTCCTTTATTCACATGCTTGCACTGCATATTCTTTCCTGGATTCTGCTGAGGACTGCTGGGCATTAATGTTTCTGCTTGTTCATTGTCACTTTATATACAAAAAGCTGGACTATTTTACAGAGAACTCTTAATAGAAAATTATACCCTGAACCATTTGATTTTTAATCCTGCTTGCTTCTGAGACACAAAGATTTTATAATCCAAATTGAAAAATATGTTAACCTTCTCTACTTAATTAAATTGGTTTTGATAACAGAGCAGAACATTATTTTTAGGCTGCCTAATTTCACTATGGGTTTAGAGAACTTTATTAAGAAGCTGTTGCCTTGGTAATAAAATATTTTTCAGATGCTGAATAGCAGAGACCTATACTAAAGTAGCTGTGCTTTGCTCTTTAGTATAAAAATTCTATGCTGTTCTCCATCACTTGAAAAATTATTCTTTTTTCCTCCTGCTTTTTATAGTGGGCACCAGAGGTAACCTCAGTTCAGTTAATCCTTACATTATCAGGCTTTGATCATCATATTTTGTGGAATTTATTTGAATTAAAAAGACAAATGATGTGCAACTTCCAAAAAAACTTTCCAGACATACAAATGATTTTAGTGTGGAACAAACCATAAAAATTCAATTTAATTACCAAAAAAGAGAAGAGCTAAACTATCTATCAGAATTTTATCTTGGCAGCTAATTAAGAACTCCTGTGTTATCCCTAATTTAATGTAATTCAAATTAGGGAGATTCACTGGAAAGCCATTTTTTTGTGTGTGTGCAATTGATTCTCCCATTGATGAGGTATCAGAAGTGAGGAGACAAGTCATGAATAATCAAGTCAGCAGTAAGAATTAAAATATTTCAAAAGTACTGCAGAAATAAAATGTACTTTTCTTTACTATAATTCAGTGGCCTCTTCAGATCACAATTTATAGATTAAGTCTTTCTTAGAAGACTTAAGAAAAAATGTTCTTAGCTTTTTCTCATAAACCCAAAGAAGATCTGGACTTTAGAAAGATTAGCAGTATCAAGAATTTAAGATAGTATAGTTACTGTATATACTTGAATAATGCATGGCCAGCAACCATGCATCAAGTACTTCAAACTTCATCTGTACTATCTACATTCTGTCAGAGAACTGCAATTATGTTTTATTAAAATGACTCACCTCAATTTCTTTTCTAAGCTTAGCATGAGCTTTTTTAATTTCTTCCAGCAAATCTGTTTTTTTATTGATGAAATCCTTCACTGTTGTGATTTCCTGTTTTATAAGTGCAATTTCTTCCTGCAGATTTAAGTTAAGATAGAGAAATCCCCTCCTATGAAAGGTTGCACAATTTATCTACTCTGTTTAACAGTTTCATTTAATTAATAAAAATGAGTTGAAGATCTGTAATATATAATTTCACATTCAAGTAATAAGAGATTTATAATTAAAAACAATTAAAATAGTAATTAAAAATATCATAAAATCATAGAATCACCAAAGTTGGAGAAGACCTCCAAGATCATTCAGTCCAACCATCCACCTACCACCAATATTTCCCCACTAAACCATGTCCCTCAGTATGACATCAAAATGATCCTTGAACACCTCCAGGATCAGTGACTCAACCACCTCCCTGGGCAGCCCATTCCAGCACCTGACTGCTCTTTCAGAGAAAAAAAATTTCCTAAAAGTCAACCTGAATCTATGGTTTTATGTACTTTAAAAGATGCACTCTTGGTCTGAAGTATGCAAGAAACTACAACACAGAAATCTGAACTCATTTGGTAATGCTTATAATCTTGTTTTAAATCTTTTTGTTTGTTTGTTTTTGCAAAATCAAGGAATATTTACTGTAATATGTCAGATAGATTTTTTCTTTCTCGTGGAAAAAATATTGTCAATGGTATTTATTTTATTGGGGTTTCAAAAATTTCTTGCATAAAAAAAAATACATCATTTTACTTGAATAATGTAATACTGCATTTTCAACAATGCAAGTTGTGTCAGAGTTGCAATTTGTGATTTCATTTCACCTTCATGCATGTATTTGCTCATATATTAGCAAATTTTTGTGGTGGGAACTTCCAGCTTTTTTTTATTTTTTAGTGATTCTTGCAATTACACTCAAAAACAACAACGTAGACTAAAACACCAAAAACAATGTAATGTTTCTTATCTCCTCCTTTCTATCACCCTCTCATCAAATCTATTTTCTGTTGGCTCAGCTGTGGTTTGCTCCCTAAGAAGAAAATTAAATGAATGAAGTGCTGTTACAAGAAAAGCGTAACATCACGGCTGTGTTCCACACAATTATAAAAAGTATGCATTTAACTTTATCCCTACTAACCACATAATCACTTGGCAATGATATATTTTAATTAACAACCCTGTAATATTTTCATAACTGAGCTCATTCAGCTACAGAGAATGAACTCTGCAATAATATACTGGTTACTGGGGCTGATGATTTTTTTACTGCAGCTGATGACTTATTTTCTCCAATTAATTTATCATTTTAAATGAATCTTTATTCCCCTAGTCAGTTCATCATGGATATAGAGTTATTAGACCAAATAATTGTATCAGTTAAACTGCGCCAAAATTGTTGCACAGGAAAAGAAATGAATCAATGAGGAAATACAATACCTGCATTTGCTTTATAGCAGAGCCTTCTGGATTCTGGAGGTCACTCATTAACTCTTCTTTCTTTGCTCTCAGCTCAGTAACAATAGCTTTCTTTTCAGCAAGCTCAATCACAATAGGCATTTTACTTTCCATCTCCCGAAAGAGACTTTTATGAGCTTTTATTTTTTCCCGATATTTACTATTTCTTGCAGATGTCATCTCATATTCTTCCTGTATTATTTCTGTATCAAACCTCAGCTTCATATTTTCAGAATACAGAGCTCTGACTTCAGCTTCTAGGTTTTCGCAGTGATACTTTGTCACTCCTATGGCATCATCTTGCAGATATATTTCCCTTTCTGTTTTCTTCATTTCTAACATAATAGAATCCATTTCTTTTTCTAGTTCCTGATATCTAACCTGTAAAACATGTCACCATTCACTTAATAGTACTTTTATTTGAGAGGATGTCAGGTATCTTGTTAAACACTGTAATTCAAATTTATTGATCAGAAGATTCTTTTTCACTTCTTTAGATGTGTTTGACTGGAAGATAATCAGGGATACATTTCGTGAAATCATAGAATCATCACCTTAGAGACATAATGGAGGAATGCTATTTTAGATTTCTATCCTTAAATTGAGTCTAAAATATGAAATAAGGCATTCTTTGAATCACTTTAAATTACATAGGATCAAATGCAATCTCAGTGTTTTTTAGAGACAGAAACTGGTTTAGTTCAAATCAGACAAAAACCACACGGTACTAAAAACACACTTAGACACACATACACAAACACATAGATGGGTACTTGTGCTGAGGGAGATTAACTAACCTGTTCTACTGAAGACTTTATCCTGCCCTCATCACTGTAGTATCTGAGTGAAGGATTAATGTCAGCTATTTTAAAACCTTTAAGAAATAGGCACCTAGCCCTACAAGGGCTTCTATGTCTTCTCACTGATGAGAAGCGAACAATTCCAGGAACCAGTACTTCATCATCCCATCATAATATGGGAGGGCTCAATCACTGCCTCAGAAATGTTTATCTCTTTTTGTTGACTAGAGAGAGCCTAGATGACTAATATGGGCTTAACATATGATTTGCAGGTGATGCAAGATGGCTGTGATGAATCCCACCTTAGGTAACAGCCAACTACTGTGTATTAAGTGAGAGAATTTTGCACTGTGATTAATGCTGCCTATTATCTTTTCCCTAATGGAAGCATTATGAGTGCCACGAAGTCTCCTATTCAATGTTTTGAACCTAATAAGACACTGTCAGCTCTTAAGAAGAAAATGTTTCAGCATAACTTTCAGTAAACCCGGGTTATAGTTTTTGCAGGATTGGTATCTCTGCCACCATTTACTGAGTACAGGAAAACAGAAGATTTTAATGGAAAAGATCTTCAGTTCAGGAAATCACCATTTTACATGTCTTATGGGACACATACAAGTAGGAATAGAGTGAGAGATGAAAACACACTTCTGCATTCAGTTCCTAATTATTTAACCTTGTTGTTCTACTACTAATTATATTTGTATGGACTTCCTCAGGTTTGGGAAATTTTTGAAAAGAAAAAAGATGTCAGAGAGGAAGAAATGAGGAAAATTAATTATCTAAGATTCTGAAGTTCTGTCCATATTTGAAAACTGAAACAATTGTTTAAATTGCTTGATCAAAAATTAATTGTTACAAAATAACCATAATATATTACAGTGTGATAAGAGAAAACTTCCTGCACTGTTTGGACAATTAGCCATTCCTAACCAATTAAAGTCATGGAGCCATCATAGAATCATCAAGACTGGAAAAGACCCCTAAGATCATCTAGTCTACCTTTCACTGCTCCTTCTGAGAAATGACCCTTGTGCAGGAACTCAAACACCAATTATTTTAGTTGTACAGCATTCACAGATGTTATCATAAGATCTCCATTTTATAATCACTCACACTTAAAAATGCCTGAGCAGTACTGTGCGTTTCCTCAGACTTAAATGTTTGCCTCTCAACAGACATTTGATCTCAAAGCATAAGTGACAATTGGAAGCTTAAATTCTGTGAAAGATTAGAATGGAAATGAGTACTCAGTCTTGAGGAAAACCACACACATCCAATATCCTACCAAACAGATAGATAGATAGATTTGGTATTTAATGACTATAGGACACCTATTACACATGCAAATTAAAAACAGTCTGTATGGAAAAAGAAATTCTGTACAACAAGAAAAAAATTGACAGTCTTGAGAAAATTTATCCAAAGTGATGCTCTCAAAACCTCCTTTTTTTTTTTTTTTTCTTTTTTTTTTCCTCCCATTCATTTTTCAAGAAATCAGTGGGATAAATGCAATAAGCTCTAAGTTGAAATGCAGTATTTTGTGGGATGGTTATTTCAATGTTTTATCTTCAAAATGACATTAAATAAATGCTTCTGCTATAACTTGCTCTAAGGAAGTCTTAGCTAAGGAGCAGCCTTACAAATGATACATACACAGTTTTGGCAAGGGCTAAACACCACAGAGAACAGCTTACGCTTAAATGTGAACACCCAGAAAAAAAATCAAATATGTTCATGTCTTTTTTTATCAGAATACATCCACATCTCATGAATAAATTAAATGAATTAAGCAACTCTAAAGAAGGTTTATTACCTGCAATTGGAAAAGAATGATTTTGTTTTTTTCTATCTCTGATGACTGTAAATGCTGCTGCTCAGCAACTTGTTTTACAACTTCAGTTAGTGAAGGATAATTCTCCTTAGCCATTTCAGACAAAAGGAATGACCTATAAAGGACATAAATGATCAGTGAGGCCCTGGCACAGCTGCCCAGAGAAGCTGTGGATGCCCCATCCCCGAAGACATTCAAGGCCAGGTTGGATGAGGCCCTGAGCAGCCTGAGCTGGTGGGTGGCACGGCCCATAGCACAGGGTTGGGCCTGGATGGCCTTTAATGTCCTTTCCAACCCAATGATTCTGTGATTCTGTGAAAACAGAAGTGAATTGTCTTATCGTCATTTTATTTCCTGTTAATGTACGAGAACAATAATAAGGACTTCCCTATGGGAAATTTTGTTTGGTTGCATACACACAATTATATACACACAGTTTTGATTTGTTTGTGGACCAGTGGGTGGATGCTCAAAGCCAGTGACTGAGAATTAGAACTCTTTCTTCTGGCATATTTTAAAATGAAATATCAGTGTTTTTTCTGGCTTCTCTGCAGGTCCTCAGTATTTTAATACAGCAATCCTAAATGGCCTTTAGAGCACACCTTCATATTCAGCCTGAATATGTACATCATTGCCATTACTATATGGCAACTGTGTGTTATTTGTTAACTATTCTTAGCTTAAGAAAAAAAAAACAAAAACAAAAAAACAAGATGTCAGACTGTAAGTCACAAATTAGTACTACAAAAAAAGAAAACAAAACACTGACTAGAAAAAAGTTGTATCTTTGTCTCACTTCAGATAGAAGACATTAATGGAGAAATACTGTGTTGTTGTGATGCCAAGCTATGAAGAAAATGTGCAATGAGACTTAAAGTGTACGTTCAGGACTAATATATTCAATGTAAAATGGATGAACTGTGCCTGAAAATTAGTGGTCTTGACTGGAAAATCACTTTTACCATCTGCTTTTAGGGCTGTTACCGCTGTTGGCCAGTCAACCGTCACTTCACCCCTCTACTCTGCTCCCCAAGCACGTTCACACTCCCAACACCAAACAAGCCTGCCCCAACCCCTCAGGAAACATTTTTGCTGTGCTCCCCACCCCTCAGAACGTCACAACAGCCACCTCAGCCTTCACTGCTCCTTCCCGCCCAAAGCGCGGCCCACCATCCGCCAGGGAAGGCCAACCATTCCTTAATGCATAGTCTTGTGTCACATCCACATAGATCCCTCTGAATTCCAGGGAAACAGCTTTAGCCTTAAATCCCACCATTTGTATAGTTTAGTAGCTCATCTCTGCCCATGAGCTGTTCATTTCATCCCTTTTTTGAGGTGGTGGAAGCTGAATGTAAACACATGAGCTGGAGAAGTAGCACCGATTTGTTGTCTGCATCCTGACACTGTGTGGTTTGTATCTTGGCTGTTTTCTAGCCTTTTCTTTATCCCTTTTCAGCACTATGCATGGAAAGTAACTAGTAATTGCAGTGTTTTGGTGTTTTTTTCCTTTGCTTAGTCTGGTTGAAGGAAAGGAAGTGGTTTTGTTGGTCTCCCTGTTAATTTCTACACTATATCCTACTTCATCCATGTCTGACAATGGGCTGAAAGCCTCAAAGACACCCATTATCTGCAAACAACATGAAAACAGGTACCTGGATACTCGAAGGAGGAGACAGCCACCTCAGTTTCCTTTGGGACAGAAAACTGGGAGAGTTGAGCTCTCCTCCCTTTGCCCAGTGTGTCCTGGAAGGAAAAAGTGAGGAGAAATGACAGAGGACCCCCAAGGAGTGTTTGGCATCTAACAGGAAAGGAGGTACAGGAGTCACAGGAGAGCAATTTGTAGGAAATCAGACTTCCCAAATTCCTTTGTTCATGGAAAAAATATTTTCTTTCTCTTTTCTCTCTCTCTCTCTTTTTTTTTTTTTTTTCTTCAGTTGCCATATACTTATCTGCTATGATTTTAACACAGCTGAGAAAACACATTTATTACCAAATGGCTTGGAACAACCCTGATACAAATTCCTCTTTCCCCCACTTGCCTTTTGACCACTTCATTGCCCTGTCCAAACACTCAGACTCTTTTTACTGAGCTCTGCAAAATTTCCCTCTGCTCCAAAGCCAAGCTGCCTTCCATGTTGCAGGCTGTGGCTGAGGGTTGGCCTCTCGTAACCCCTGAGTCCTGCTGAATGTGCTTTTTCTTGACTGACTGCCAAATCCCTGGCTGGAACGTGCAGCTACATGTGCCTTGCCTTACATGTCCCTTAGAAGAGGAACCTCTCGGTCTGCACAAGTGCTTCCTTAACTTCTTTGTATTCTTGTTCTGCTCTGGTGTGCCGCATCTCTGAATCCAAGGTTGTGCAATGCTAATGAATTAGGTGTGATGACAGAAGTGGGTTTCATGGCAGGGTTAATGCTGCTTCCGGGCTTAGTGCTAGCCAGGCACTGAATCACAGCGGTGCTTTTCAGTGCCGTTTGTTATTTCCTGTGCCCAGTGACAGCAACAGTGCAGGGTCCCATCATGAAGAAGAAATACAGGTTCCCACTCCGATCTTACCTAGAATAGGAATTTCCACTTTGTGCAAATCAGCTGCAGGACTGACTGTGAGATGTAATATATATAAAGCTGGCAATGTGTGTTATCAGATGATAACTTTCCAGAGGTTGAAAGAACTTTCTGCCTGTGTAAGTAAATTCCTGTGCTTTAAACTCATGAGCTTTCTGATGAAAACTGCATATACTTCAGTATTTTCTTTCGAAGTGGTGATTTGTTTCTTCCACTTTTCCTAAATACTCCTAAGTTAAGAGAAGCAGAATATTTTAATCAAAGTAAAGAGGTTTTTATGACTTTTTTTTCCTTTTTAGTTCTTTGTTTTTGAAATTTTAGTGCAATTGTGTTCATATATCTGTTCATTTGGATTGCTTTAGTGGTCTGTTTTTCTGGGTATCTCTTTTTTTCCAATGTTAAATATTTCTTTCCTTCTCTGAGTTTCTGTAAGATAATGTGACCAGTAAGATTCACAGATGCAGGAAGTTGCCAGCAAGCTTGTCTAGACCAATTTTATGAATTAGACGTCTGGGTTTTTTGAAAATTGCTAAAAAGCAAGACATCTTTCTGGGTTGTCTCTACCACTTGGTTTTATTTACTTTACAGTTTCCTTTCTATATTACCTTTGCCTTTCTCTGTCACTCTCGACCTCCTCTCCTCATCTATCATTTTTTATTATATTTTCTTGAAGTCTGTGCCAGAGGATCATTTTACTGTCCAAATTTTTGTGCGGATAGAGATTCAGAGGGTAAGTGAAACAGTTAACAAGTGGCCTTGACTTGAGGTTGGTGCAAGTATTTGTCTTACGTTCTGTACAGAAATGAGCAACTCCATTTTTAAATACACTTCATGCAGTTACGTGCAGTGTGACTTTCCATGGAGTGTGGAGCGTGTTGCTTAAAACCTGAATAATCAGGAATGCATTTTGGATAAGCCAAAACATTGCTTTGTTTGGCAAGCCTGTATTCTGAGTAGGATTTTGTTTGGGGGACTTAGAAAGCAGTCATGAAGTTCTACTGTAACTCTAAGCAATTGTGTATTTCTGACACTGCTGTAAAACAGTAGGTCTCTGCTACAAAACTGGAAGGGTTGGAGGGTGAATCAGCCCCATTGCTTCTGTGCATACATCTCAATAACTGCCTCTGCACACTTCCGATAATGCACAGATGGCTTAATAACTATGCAGGCAGTTACCTCTCCCTCAGCAAACACTTTCCTTCCACCCTTTCTTTGGTGGTATTTCAATGGGGAAGTATGAGGACGGCCATGAGCTCTACTTAACTCTCCTCTATTGACATATCTGAAGTGGAGCAGTAATCTATTTTTCTACCACACCCCTCTGTTGTACTGCCTTTGCTGGGGCAATTAGCTATACCTAGATTAGGACTTGTCATACTCTTACCGACCTCCCACAGAGAGTACCAGGGTAAGGAAGGAAATCTCCTGATTTCCCAAGTCACGATCTTTAACAGCGTCTCTTTTGACGCTGTTTCCTGAGCAAGCTGTTTTCTCTAAAGTCTGTGATCAGTTCTGTGTAAATAAAACCCTGAGCAAAATCAGGAGTGGTAAATTCCTTGGCAGATGCTTTTATCTGCTGTCACATTTTGATACTTTCAGCTCACCAGCTTTGATAGTCTCTAATTAATCTTTGTAAGTGTTCAGTTCGCAGAAAGGAAAACACCGTTTTCAGTCAGGATTGTTTTTCTTCCAGTCTGGAGGAAAGAACAATGAAGAAAACAAAGGATGTTTTCTATAAAACCTGCTCTGAATAAACAATCCATTAAAACAAGAAGAGTATTTGACCTCTCATTTGAGTGTAGAAACTAGGGTCCACTATCAACCACAAAATGCCAGGAAGGGCACCAAGTGTCCCATGGTGATAGGCCTCAAGTACACACTGACACTGCATGTTCTGCTTGATAATTAAATACTGTGAAGCCAGAGTGTGTAGTTAGAGGAAAATGAGGAACTGGGACAGGAGAACAGTCCCAGACATTATCTGATATATATGGCTCTGGTAGTAGAGCACTAAGTTTAAAGACTCATAACACTCAAATTCTTTGTTCCTGTAAACTAGTAATTTGTGTTCATGAACAGTTCCTTTCTGTACAAGGAAGCTACCAAACAAAAAATAAAAAATGGAAGTATCTCACAATCCACAAGAGAAGCCGTGTACTACAGGATGATAGTAGCTAGCAGAAACTGGAACAGGAGGATTGTTTATTTCTTGTGTTGCTTGGTAAAGTTTCAGTGTCTGTGCTGAGTTCGTATGTGTGCTGAGAAGAACTATGCCTAACATATAACCCCAAAGCAGAAGTCAGAAAAGAGCAAATTGATGCTGTTGGTGATGCGAAAGAGCAGAAGTAAATACCTTGTGAGCAGAAAACATGCGGCTGTATTAAGAACCCAACACTGATGCTGCCAGGAGGGGTGTCAGATACAAGCTCCACCTCAGCAGCAAATGTATGAAGTGCCTCAAAAAAATTGTTCTTGAAACTCCTCCTGTCCCAGCAAACTAAAATTGTGAAAACCTCCCTGTTTGATTCCTCTCACAGAAGGTCCCGACAATCAGAGATCAAGAAGATCAGTATGTTGATGTGTGTTAAGTGATTCAATAAATGTAACGTTAAGGACAAATCCTTTTTAATCTCTGATCTCAGATAAAACTTAGGTAGGTGAGATGGTAGACAAACAAAAAAGTATGAAAAATAATTCCAATTTCCTATGAAAACATAGAATCACAGCTTCAGAGACTGGCTTGGGGTTGGAAGGGACTTAAGGCCCATCCAGTTCCAAGCCCCCTGCAGTGGGCAAAGTTGCCAGCTACCAGCTTAGGCTGCCCAGGGCCCCATCCAACCTGGCCTTGAGTGCCTCCAGGAGTGGGGCACCCACAGCTTCTTTAGGCAGCCTCCCCCAGGGCCTCACCATCCTGAGTAAATAATTTCCTCCTAACATCCAACCTAAAGCTCCCTTCATTTAGTTTAAAACTGTCCTCCCTTGTCTTATCACTATCTGCCCATGGAAAAATTCCATCTCCGTTCTGCTTAGGCAATGAGATCTCCCTGGACACTTCTCTTCTACAGGCTGAACAAGCCCAGCTCCTTCAGCTTTTCTCCATAGGAGAGGTGCCCCAGCCTTCTGATAATCTTCATGGCCTCTTCTGGCCTTGCTCCAGCAGCTCCACATCTTTCTTATGTTGGGGGCCCCAGGTCAGCCAGACACAGATCAGACATAGAACTCCATGTGGGGCGTCACGAGGGTAGAGCAGAGGGGAACAATAATATCCCTTATCCTGCTGGTCACTCCTCTTTTGATGAAGCTCAGGATACAGTTAGCCTGGATTTGGGCTGCAAATGAAAATAACTGTGTTTAAACTGAAGGTGTCATCTTGCCTTTCACCTCTCTCTCTTTTTTTTTTTTTTTTTTTTTTTTGCTACCTGTAGGAATTTTTAAGTAGCCAGGAATATGGTGGAAGCAGTGCTGATTGATCTGTTCAGCCTGCCAGCCAGCTTGCACAATGACATTCAAGGAGTACTGCGTAACACCCTGGAAACTATTGAGAAGTGCTCTTCCACTCCTGCTCCATTTGTTTATGTAATGTGCTGCCAGATGCCAGAGAGTGAAAGAAAAGGCGAACAAGAATCCTTGTTTCCAGCTCTGAGAGATTTCCAGAGTATGAAGGAAGGACTTGAGGTAGTATGTGCTCAGACTACAGCTGCTGTGTTATATACCATCAAACAAATACTTGATGAAAAGGACTTCAGCATCATTAAAGTTATTCTCCCCTCCCTAAGGAAAGAATTAATGAAAGTATATATAGACCATCTCTTTACTGCAGTCTACCAGTTTGAATTTGAGGATTTAAAGGTGGCATCTGATTGTAATAACCTGCAGACAATTGGACCAAAGCGTGAAGAGCAAACAGTTTCTACAGAGGATGTGGCACTCATCCGAAGTGAGATTCAGATGCACTTGAAAAGCCTGCCAAGCCTGAAAGGGGAGCTCACCATCCTCAAATCTTCTCTAATTCCAGGTAGAGTGTTATCCCAGCTAACAGATTTTATGTAGAACGTCTTTCTTCAAGGGTATTGCAAAATGGGTAAGATGTGGAAATATCTCAGCAAGTATCTCCATGTGGTATTGTAATAGTGCATCATTTCTAGTGTAAGAGGGGAAGTGACAGTGCAAATACAGTAAAAAGACCTGCAAGTCTTTTCCAGAACATGGTCAGAGGAGAGAGAGGCCTAGGTCTAATGCGAGCAATTTGCAGACAGTAAAGTCCCTTCCCCTCTATCTGGGAATTACATGCTGTGAGAGTTACTGTCATGTTCTGGAAAGGCAGGGTAGGACTTTTTCCCCAGTCTGCAGCCTCATGCGTGCCTGGTTAATCAGACTCATGGCTCAGTGTCCCTGCTATGACATGGCCCAGCTTACTGCATCATGTCTCTCAAACAATTACAGGGTCTCTTGGTTCAGAGGAAAGCTAAGAGGTTTCCTACTGCAAAAATTTGGAACTGTGTTTCCCTTAAAAATGTATCTGAAGTGACCCAGGAAATAAAAGGAATGCAGGTTACTTAAAGCCATCTGCATTCATTATGTTTCAAGTTTTTTCTGTGACTTTTATCAAACTGCATAAAAGATATTTCAAAACTTAACTCTGATTATGTCACTAAGCTTGTCAACTATCAAGATAGCAAATACTGGTACTGGGGCTTTCTTTTTGGATTCAGCCTCACCCCATCATGAAACCCAGCAATTCCTTTTGGTGCATGAGATCACAATAAAGACTCTGTTCTGTAAAAACAGAGGACTTTTCCAATAATGCGAGAAATTCTTGATCCTTCCACTGTACTTCAAAAAGATGTTTGAGATTCTTAAAGTCTTGAGAACTGGTACTTCATTTGCCACCTTGAAATGATAGAATCATAGAATGGCCTGGGTTGAAAAGGACCACAATGATCACCTAGTTTCAACCCCCCTGCTATATGCAGGGTTGTCAACCACCAGACCAGGCTGCCCAGAGCCACATCCAGCCTGGCCTTGAATGCCTCCAGGGATGGGGCATTTTGAATGTTTTTAAATGTTGATTTAAAAATCTATTCTCCCTTTCTGAGTGAGTTGCCTCTTCTCTTGTGGGTTTGCACAACACCTCTGTAAGGAGCCAGACAACATCTGCCAGGCCTCCATCTCCTCAAACCTCTCAGAGAATTACGATTATGAACAACAGGGAGAATTTAAATGGCAGAGTTGAATAAGAGATAAAGCAGCACTGAACTTTTTTGTCTGATTTCAGTTCTCTTCAGTATAAAGCCATGTAATATTTGGACTGGTCTTGTGTTGAAAGCAATTGCTTGTTGTCTTTCTTGCTTTGTCAGATGATATCTTCCTACATGGATTCACCACGAGGACAGGTGGGATCTCCTACATACCGACTCTAAGCTCCTGCAATCTTTTCAGCAGTTCTAAGCGGAGGGATCCACAAGCTGTTGTTAAAGAAAACCTCCGCAGGCTTGCTAATGCTGCAGGATTTAATCCAGAGAACTTTCACAGAGTCAAGGTATCTTATCGAACAACAAGCTTATGTAAAATAATCAAATCTTCCTTCATATACCACTGGCTAAAAGTGTAGGCATTACTTTTATCTTTCTAAGCAAGAACCTGTGAAAATCAGGGCAATTAAAACATTTACGCTGGCACTTTAAATGAGGAAAGTGCCATCCAAACTGTCAGCTGTTGGTACAGTATGGAGCAGCAGCATCCATATTGTTGTTTCTTCCAAGTATATTCTAACTTTTATTTACCACAGAGTAGAATAATCAGATAATCAATGCAGGTTTTCTTAAAAAAAAACAAAACAAACAAACAAAAAAAAACTCCACTTCTTTAGTGTCTCTCTACTGATACATCTGCATGGCATTTGAACAAGAGAGTGCCTGATATCCGTGCATAGCAATTGGTGCAGAAGAGATTTTTCTATGCGAGAAAAATCCCAACCAAAACCACAACCAACTTGCATTAATCAGAATGTTTTTTACTGTCTCACCACTGTGCATATTGCGCTTTTATTTTGACAGACTGATCATGCTAATGCTGTGTGTATTATGGGAAAGACTGAGCCTGACAACTACGATGGAATAGTTACGAATCAGAAAGGTGTTACAATAGCAGCTCCAGGGGCTGATTGCATACCATTGCTGTTTGCTGATCCTGTCAGAAAAGTCTGTGGTGCTGCTCATTCTGGTAAGGACTTTAAATCACAGAGGTCAAAATAACTAGGAGATCCCTGTTAAGGGAAATTTGGACAAAGAATTACAAATTAGCAACTGAAAGTGCACAGAATAAATAGGTGAAAGTTTACATTACAGTTTAGACTTCTGCCTGTTAACTATTTATCTTGACAAAGATTAGTTTTGAGAATAGCTTGTTTACTAAGCTATTTCATAGCTGTAATAATAATTATGTATACTTTTTTTTTTTTTTTCTGGAAGTGAAAACTAAATAATTATTTTCTATGCACCATCAAACTTCATGTGTAAAGAACATTTCTAAATCCAGAGCCCACAAAAATCATTTTGGATCAGATGAAGTGTTTGGTTGGCCTAGACAATGAGCGTAAAACCAAAGCAGGGATGGGTATGACAGTGTGGAGATAGTCTAACTTTAGAATATTTCCCAAATGTTAGGCTGGATCATGTATACTGTGATAAGATTTTCCTGTTGGAGCTGTTTTATTTCATAAAAAAATTGTATTTATCAGGGAGAATGCAGAGCTGAGAGTTTATTCACAGCTTTGATGCTAGTACTCACCTTTATATGGTGGGAAGCTTCACCCCTACATAGAACTTGTGAGTAACTGTCTACTTCATACAGTTGTTCATGCATTCAAAAAAATTATCCAAAATAAAGACAGATCTGTGACTCATCCTAAGAGGATGAAGACTTTGACATTCCTTCAATAAAGTCGTTGTTCTCCAGCCTAGTGAGTTTAGGTCAGGGAAATTAAGAGGAGTGCAAAGTCAACCAGGAGTGTCTGGGACAAACGGGAAAGTTGTAGTTTATATTGGGGAAAAGGAATGGAGAGAATTTTATCCACTCTTGAAAGTTTTAAGAATTTGAAGTTATATACTATTAAGTGTCCATCACTAAAAACTGTAAAATATGGTCAATCTGTAGTTGCTCCTCTCTTCGCTGGCTTTTCAGTTTTCATCATACCACATCATCATATAAAACATGACAGTTGTTTATTTTTTAAACACTACTTTTGCTGGATCTTTAATACTAACATACTTTTACTTAATATAAAGTTGAAGAGAAAATTTAGATTTTTTTTTTTCACACTCTCATTTCTCACAGGATGGAAAGGCACACTGTTAGGAGTTTCCATGGCCACAGTGAATGCTATGGTATCTGAATACGGCTGTAATGTGAAAGATATCCTTGTGGTCCTAGGTCCATCTGTAGGACCTTGCTGCTATAAACTTCCTCGTGAATCAGCTGAAGAGTTTCACAGAATTGATCCAAAGTGTGTGCGACAGTTCGACTCTGCAGCTCCATATATTGATATTAGAAGAGCAACACGGTAAGTCTGCAGAGTGCATTTCCATGGCACGTAGGTTTTTTATTTTGGCTACTTTTGTGCTGAGTGAACTAGATTTGAAAGCAAAAGAACTCGTAGTGCTAATTCCACATTGGGTATCAAAATAGCATTGCACAGCAGTATTATGGTGAGGGTCCTCTCCATCTTAAAGTGCTCTCTAGTACTTTGCAGGTCAACAAATTATACCTTTTCAATGAAAGGTATCTATTCACCTCTGCTGGGATTCAACTATTATTTTGCTGTCATGCTTTTAGTTTTTGGATTATATACTTTTTTTTTTTTTTTTTTTTTTTTTTTTTTTTTTTTTTCCAAATTAAGTATTTCTAATGGCTGCAGAAAAGCAATCTTTTTAGTCTAATGTTGAAAGAAAGAAAAACGAATAAAAGTCCCACAATATGAACACAATTAGTTCAGTTGGTGCTTGAGTTTCTTTCTGACTGGTATAAATTACAGAGTCATAGAATCATAGAATGGCCTGGGTTGAAAAGGACCACAATGATCATCTACTTTC